TAATACATGCTCAGAAAATTCTAATGCAAGACTAAGGGCTAGGAATTAGCCCAAAAACACTGAAAATATCAATGAGTAATTATGAGAATGATACTAACACCTTTTACAAATAATCATACTTAAAGAACTTCAAATCTTGCCAAAGCATGCTTAAGATGATACAATTCTTTAAAAGGCAGTCCTTTGAATTCCCAATCTGTATGCTTTCAAAATGTTCCTAGGAAGAGATTTTTCTTTTTCCTGCAGGATTTTACCAGAAAGAGGGAGAACAAAACAGAATGTGAGAAACAGCCCATAATATAGTGCTAAGTAGAAAAATATTAAATTTCAAAAATATGTATGTGTTTTGATGAAGAAAGAGATACCATTACACTGATTTTCCTAGAATACAATCCTTTGAAAACAAAATTTAAATGATCCCAAACCCTTTTTTCCAGACTCCAATCATTTGTCTCCTGAAAAAGTTAAGTGTAATCTGAAGAAATCACAAAGATTCATTTTGAAGACCACAGCTTATTATGAAATACTGTGTTCCAAATATTTTGGTATGGAAGCAAAGTTAGAATAAGAATACAATGCTTTATTGAGCCTTGCTACTTGTTACTAGCCTGTAGTTCAAGAAAAAACTTTATTTCCCTCCCTGTTGGGAGGATGGACTGAAAGAGCGCGAAGTGTGGAGTGGAAGGATCTGATAGGTGTGAACACCTATCACACTTTTTCACTGTAAGGCTATTTCCCCTAATCGGTGGGACAATGATCCCCATCTTCCAGTTTATGTCCAAAAAAATGATCAATACAGATGCAGGAATAAGGATTCTGAATTAGACAATGGGACCACTGGATGCCAACATTGGCTCCTACCTTTAATTAGTTATATGGCTGTAGGCAGTCATTTTACCTTTATATGTTTCAATGTCTTCAACTGTAAAACAAGGTGGTTCATCTTATCTCACACTATACACAAAAATTAACTCAAAATGTATCAGAAGCTTAAGTGTAAGAGCTAAAACTATAACACTAAGAAGAAAACATAGGAAAAAAATCTTCATGATATTGGGTTAGTAAGGATTTCTTAGATACAACAACAAAAGCAAAATCAATAAAAGAAAAAAGTGATAAATATCAAAATTCAAAATGTTTGTGCTTTAAAAGACACCATTAAGGCTGGGCGAAGTGGCTCATACCTATAATCCTGGCACTCTGGGAGGCCAAGGTAGGTGGATGATTTGAGCTCAGGAGTTCAAGACCAGCCTGAGCAAGAGTGAGACCCTGTCTCTACTAAAAGACATAGAAAGAAATTAGCTGGACAATTAAAAATATGTATAGAAAAAATTAGCCAAGCATGGTGGCACATGCCTGTAGTCCCAGCTACTCAGGAGGCTGAGGCATTAGGATTGCTTGAGCCCAGGAGTTTGAGGTTGCTGTGAGCTAGGCTGATGCCTGGGCAACAGAGTGAGACTCTGTCTGGGGGGGGGGGGGGGGGGAGGAAAGACACCATTAAGAATACAAGAGTGGATTAATCAAATGTGGTATACGTATACCATGGAGTACTACTCAGCTTTAAGAAACAACGGTGATCTAGCACCTCTTGTATTTTCCTGGATAGAGCTGGAACCCATTCTACTAAGTGAAGTATCCCAAGAATGGAAAAATAAGTACCACATGTACTCATCAGCAAATTGGTTTCACTGATCAACACCTAAGTGGACATATAGGAATAACATTTATCGGGCATCGGACAGATGGGAGGGGGGAGGAGGGCATGGGGATGGACACGCATGAAGCTCTGACTTGAGGGGGGTGGGAGGGCAAGGGCAATATATGTAACCTTAACATTTGTACCCCCATAATATGCTGAAATTTAAAAAGGAAATTAAAAAAAAAAAAAAAGAAAATGAAGAAAAAAACAAAAAACTACAGACCGGGAGAAAATATTTTAATTAAAATCATATCAGATGAAGGACCCATATCCAGAATGAATGTGAACTCATGTATACACACACACTCCTATAACTCAATAAGAAAACAAACAACCCAATGGGCAACCCAAACTGGCAAAAGATTTGCATAGACATTTCACTTAAGAATATACATGAAAGCCTAATAAACACATAAAAAGAGGCTCACCATCACTAGTCATTAGGGGAATACAAATCAAAACCACAATGAGACACTACTTTATACCCACTAGGATGGCTGTAATCAGAAGGACAACAAATGTTAGCCTGGATGTAGAGAAATGGTAAGTTTCATATATCGCTCATAGGAACATAAAATGGCAGTTACTTTGAAAATAGTTTGGCAGTTTCTTAAAAAGTTAAATCCAGCAATTCCAATCCTGGGTATACATTCAAAGACAATGAAACATGTTCACAATGAAGCTTGATGTGAATGCCCATAGTATCCTTATTCCAAATAGTCAAAAAGCAGAAACAATTCAATGTCCCTCAACCAGTGTCCAGTAAAAAGGAACTATGTACTGCTATAATCTACGACATGGATGAACCTCAAAAAACATTATGCAAAGTATTAATAAAAGAAGCCAAACACACACACAAAAACACATATTCTATGATTACATTTACAAGAAATGCACAGAAAGGGCAAATCTATAGAGACAGAAAATAGATTTGTGGTTGCCTGTGACTGGGAGTGGGAACTGGGAGGGACTGCAAATGAACATGAGGCATTTTTCTGGAATGACGGAAATGTTCTAAAACAGGATTGTGGTAATGACTGAACAACTCTATAAATTTACTAAAAAATTACTGAATTGTACACTTTAATCAAATAGATTTTATGGTATGTAAATTCTATCTCAATAAAATTGTTTTGAAAGATGAAAAAATATTATGCTAAGTGAAAGAAACTAAACCCAAAAGATCACATGTTATATGATCCCATTGATATGAAACGTCCAGAAAAGGGAAATCTATAGAGCCAAAAAGTAGATTTGTGGTTGGCTAGAGGTAGGAAGAGGGATTAACTGTAAACAAGCACAAAGAGATCTCATTGGGGTTATGGAAATATTATAAAACTGGATTATAGTGATGGTTGTACAATACAGTAAATTTACCAAGAATCACTAAATTTTATATTTAAAATGGGTGAATTTTATGGTATTAACTAAGGTGGTCAAATGACACTGGAGTTCTCAACCTTTTATGAACCATAGACCACTTTGTGAATGTGATAAACACTAACCCTATCTTAGAGGATTGAGAGACTCCCTTTTGCCCACTCACAGACATCCTATGGGTCTGAGGACACCAAATTAACAAACCACTAAATCTCTAGAGCCCTTGCAACTCTGAAATACTATGTCACCTTAACAGCAAAGGCTACAACCATCCTCTTCAACCTAGAAAGATATACACACTACCAGAAAAGGAAGGACAATTCTTCTTCTAAAATGATTAAGGACTCTCCTCTTTACTTTCCTGACATCATTTTGGAATCTCCCATTTAATACCTTCTTTCTTTCAATATGAAACTCTCATTGAGGGAACCAGAAGCAATCAGTCAAGACAGCGACCTAGCCTGTCCTTAGAACCAATCAGTATATGTCAAAGACCTAGCATGTAGCAAGGACACAGACCCATGAAGTGGCTTAAGGAAAACGACGTGATGTCTTTCAGATAAAACTTAGCACATACTGTTTTAAAAAGAGAGGGAAGTAAAGTGAAAAAAATTAATTTGACAAGGTTTCTTCCAAACACAGACACATTGCAACAAATACTGACACCCTCAAAGCAGTGAAGGAGTTTTCAGTTGGTCTTTGTTATAAAACTAATTTTAGGACAGGATGCTAGCAAAGTAGACAATTCTCCTTCCTCCAATACACAGGGGTCTGCTCATGTAGGTTGGATAGAGCCTCTGTTTAGCTAAACCCACCCCCTTTTGATTTCCAAGGTCACTGGGTTATTGTTATCCAACAAATACTCCCCTTATCCCCAGTCCCCAGCCTTCCCCCAATCAGTATGCTTCTCTGGGAATTACAATCCATGTTTGTCCAAGTTTTGGTCTCTGCCAACTGGTATTCCTAGACCCCCTTCAACTCTACTCCACACAGCAGCCCCATCTATCAGAGCACGTTAGAGAGCTGCTTGAAGCCCTCCAGTGACACTTAGAATTCCCAAATCTTTACCAGGACTGAGAACGTTCCCAAGTCCTCCCTTACCTCTCTATCCTTGCTAGCCTTTGTTCAGGTCCTAAAACGCATCAAGCTCTTTCCGTTCTCAAGGCCACTGCATTTCCTCAGTAGGGAAAATCTTCCCTGGGCTCTTTAAAGACTCACTTCTCATCCTTCAGGGCTCAACTTAAATGTCACGGCCTCAGAAAAAGAATTTTCCTTGAAATCACCCTAACTAGGTCTCAAGGTTATTCTCTATCAGAATATCTTGTTTCTCTTCTCTCTAGCACTTGCCAAAACCTGTTCAAGTCTTTTTGTCTACTTATTTAACGTCTACCTCCCCGACTACAAAGTCAGTTGCAAGGAGTCAGAAGTTGGGTCAACCTTGCCGAGCCCGGTACCAGCAGCTTCCACCTGGAGAGGATCCCCAGCTCCACCCAGCAATGCCTGGCATTTCGTGGCGCTCAAGGGGCTCTCGCGTGGATGCGGGAATGAACTAAAGCGCCACAATCCCAGAAATAGGTGACTGTGCCCACAACTCCAGTATTCCCTTTCTCTCATAGCCTCGAAAAGGCCTGTCCCGCTCTCGCACTCTTCTCCCATGTTCACACATCTGTCAAACGTGTACACGAATCTCTCGTGAGCCCCTCCAACCCCACCCCGCCTCACAGGCGCGCGCCTCGAACCCCCGCCCCGTTCCACACGCGCTCCACGACCCCGGTGCTTCACGCACACGCCCTACAAGCCCCCCGGCCGCACGAATTCCTGCGAGCGCTGCGCTCCCCCAAGCTCCCGCGGTTCCCCACGTTCCCGCGTGTCAGCCGCCGCCTAGCGCGGCGCCTCCCCCCTCAGCGGCGCCTGCTCTCACCGATCACCTCCTGCAGCTCGTAATCGTCCCTGTTGATGGACCAGGGTAGGGCGCTCGAGTCCTCGGACATGACGGCAGCAGCGCCCTCGGCTCTCCCTCAAACTAGCTGACCTCTCTAGTCTCCTCGCCGCGCGGCTCCCCACCCCCAACTGCCGCCACCGCGCCCCCACCAGCCGCCGCGGAACAGCCACGGATCGGACTGCGCCGGGGCACGGGGTCACCGCACGGCAGAGTAGCGGGGGCTCAGAGCTCCAGCAGACCTCGCCTCCCGCTCCTCCGCGTCCGGCACTCCCTGGCCCGGCCCACACCCCGTTCTCGGCCTCCGCAACGGCAGCGGCAGAAGCTTCGCCTGGGCCCAGCCCCTCTGTCCCGCCCTCCACCCGAGCCCCACGCACGGGCCAAACTTTCCCTTCTCCCTCCACCTGCCGGCACGCAGCGCGATGACGTCACCGCGCCAGTCACGCCCCACCTCAGACCCGCCTCCCGCCGCCATATTAAGTGTGGCTGGATGTGCAACAGGCAAGCTGGAAGCCCGAGAAAGTGGAAGTTGACGATGAAAGGAAAGAAATTGTCACGAGGGGTTCGGCGAAGCCGTCGAAAAGCCATTGAAGAGACTAACGAAACACGGAGGTAGTAGCCACACTAAACATGGCAACCAAGGAGCTACCAAATGGAGGGGGCGGAGCCACTTCTAGCGGCTGGGGCACGTTGCCGTCTTCGTCGTCATATTCATTGGTTTGTTTGAGAAGGAATTAGGAAGGCAATAGGTGTTTGTGGACGTCAGTCATAAGTTAGTCCCGCCTTCAGCCTCTGGGCGCGCTTCCTCGCGTTAGGACTCCAGTCTTTCAAGCGCCCCGGTACCCTGCTCGCTTTACCGCTTCCTGTGGAGTGACGTCACGGCGTAGCCGTCACACCCTGGAGACGTGCAAACGGCTCCGCAAGGTGTGGAGAAGGCCGAGGGAGCTGCTGGGTGTGGTAGCCCTTGGGTGTGGATAACTGCCAACTAGGCTAAAAGGCCTTGGGCTACCTGCGGAGTGGAGCCGGAAGCTGGCCCCGTGACACTTTTTTCAAGGAGGCCGTTCTCCCCGCAGCGCTTGTCGCGGCTCTCTCTCCCACGGACCCCTCCGGTGTTGGCAGGGAGGGAGTTCTGGCGTTTCTCTGCTTTAGGTCAGGAGCGCAAATGAGCACCTGCCATGAGGACCTGGGGAAGTTGGTTCTTTCCCCCTGACACGGCTTGGGCTATGAAACAAGTGAGAGTGGGCCCACGCAGTTTGGGGTCTATCAAGGGCCTTGGCTTTTGTGCACTCTCACAGAAACTTCCTCAGGTTGACTATGTAGGGCCATTGGAGAAATGAATGAGCTGAAGACTGTGAACACACTTGGTAAGATGGAAAATAGAGCATCAACAGGGTTAGGGGTAGGTGCAAAACTGTTCTCATTTGAACTCCTTTCAGTCCAGTAGCAGTCATTGAAGAAAAGACCTTAACCCAGGCCCTGCCAAGCACTGGAAGCCTTATGCTGAGCTCTGCCGTAAGAAGGCCACTGATCATGAAGCCAAAGCAGTCAGCTAGAAGAAGATGTTAGCAGGTTTCCACCTGGTTGGTAGGATTGGAGAATATTTCATGGAGGAGGTGGCATTTGGACCAGGCCTTGCGGAATTAACCTGATTCGAACAGGTATAAATTGAGAGAATAGGCTACCACGATCACAACAAAGGTGCCACAGTTCCAGAAAGCATCGTACAGGCCTTATAGAAATTGGCTTCAGGCATTGCTCCTGACACCTAATTTACTGCATGTGCTGCCTTTCTTTTTGCAGGAATGGGGATCAACTATATCAGAGAGGAGCTAAATCTGATGGTAAAGATTAGAAATCTCAAGGTTTGTACCAATAGAAAAGTCCATAAACCAGAACTTCTTAACCAGGGATTGTTTGGCTGTGTGGACCATGGACAGATTTGAGATTTTTTTTTATACTCCCTTGAAATTATATACATAATAGATAGTATATACTTCAGGGAGAGATTTTTGGCAACCTTCCTCCTTCCTTTCTTCCCTTTCCCCAGTGAAAAGGAGCTACTAATCTAAGGGTGAAAATTCAACATGTTAATAGGCCCAAATTCTTGGTGGGCAGGTCGCTATATATTCATTAATGGATTCTCTTCTACCTCTTGCACGTAGACAGCTTGATGGATTTTGCGTATCTGTTCATTTTATTTCCCTTGTCTCCCTGACTTTTCTTCACATGGCCTGGGAGAGGTTATGATCCCATGATTTTAATGAGCAAGGAATTGGTGGCTATTTGAGGTCAGAGCCCAAACATTAACCTCTTTCTCAGCCTATGGAGTCTCTTCCCTGTGATAGTATTATCATAAACACTGGGTATACAGTGCTGACCAAAGTATACTTAGTTCTTGTTTTCATAGATTGTACAGTCTGGTTGAGAACAGTAAACAACTAAGCAAATCATGTAGTATCACAGTATCAAGTATACGGGAATAGGGAGCCAACTACACAAAGAGTACATTTGACCCTGGACAACACAGGTTTGAACTGCAGGGTCGACTTGCACACAGATTTTCTTCTGTCTTTGCCACTCCTGAGACAACAAGACCAGCCAACACGTCTTCCTCCTCAGCCTACTTTATGTGAAGGCAATGAGAATGAAGACCTTATGATGATCCACTTCCACTTAATAATAAATATATTTTCTCTTTATGATTTTCTTAATATATTTTCTTTTCCCTAGCTTACTTTATTGTAAGAATACAATATATAATACATATAACTACAAAATATGTGTCAATCAATTGTTTATGAGGTCCCCAGTCCCCAGGCCAAGGGCCAGTACTGGTTTGTGGCCTGTTAGGGACCAGGCTTCACATTGAGTAAGCAGTAGGTGAGTGGTAGGCAAACAAGCAAAGCTTATTCTGTACTTATAGCCATTCCCGCTCCCCGTCACTCACATCATCACCTGAGCTCTGCCTCTACCGCTCCCCTGCCCTGTTCTGTGGAAAAATTATCTTCTGTGAAGCTGGTCCTTGGTGCCAAAGGTTGGCGACCACCAGTTTATGTTATCGGTAAAGCTTCCAGTCAACGGTAGGCTATTAGTAGTAAAATTTTTGGAGAGTCAAGGCTCAACATTTTTTTAAACAGAGTACAGTGGAATTTTTGGCACTTTTGAAGCTTTTAATAAAGTAATACTCTTATTCTTATTATGCTGCCGGTCGCTGTATATGGCTCCCGCAGTAATTTTTGAGAGGTGAGGGGGAAACACAAGGTTGGATGATTCTGGAACCCTGGCTCTTCTTATATCAAAATTTCAACAAATCCTGCATAGGTTTCTTGAAAGTATGGCATATTTTCCTAGGTAGAAGGACCTTCTTTTTCTTCACATTTTCAAAGTAATCCCTGTCTTAGTTTGGGTTCCCCCAAAATCAGGCACTGAGACCAGGATTTGGGTGCAAATAGTTTGTTTAGGAAGTGACTCCAAGAAACAGTCTGAAGTGGAGAAGGGAGACAAGAAAGGAAGGATAGTGGTTAAGGATTCATTAGAGAGGGGTCACTGTTTGTGCCACTGAGTTTATTCCTGCTGTGAACCATCTGGGAAACTGTGGATCACACCTCAGAACTGTCCCATTGAGAGGCAAGGGAGCTGAGGCATTAGCCCACCAACCCCTTTCGTCTTTGAAGGTCAACACTCCTGCACCTCTACCCAGCTCGGTGCTTGGAAAAGGACCCTCCTAAGGTCATAGAATGCACTCCAGCAGACACAGGCAGTCCTCCTGTACTAGAACTCTCTGAAAGCAAACTCCAGAGTAAGTGCAAAGGATATGAGCCTGGTATACACAGCATCTACTACTATGTGTAAACCTAAAAGTTAAGAATCCCTGTCTGGGCTGGGCGCAGTGGCTCTCGCCTGTCATCCTAGCACTCTGGGAGGCCAAGGCGGGAGGATCACTCAAGGTCAGGAGTTCAAAACCAGCCTGAACAAGAGTGAGACCCTGTCTGTACTAAAAATAGAAACAAATTAATTGGCCAACTAAAAATATATAGAGAAAAAATTAGCTGTGACTAAAAAATTAGCATGCATGGCGGCGCGTGCCTGTAGTCCCAGCTACTCGGGAGGCTGAGGCAGGAGGATTGCGTGAGCCCAGGAGTTTGAGGTTGCGGTGAGCTAGGTTGATACCACGGCACTCTAGCCCAGCCAACAGAGTGAGACTCTGTCTCAAAAAAAAAAATTAAAATAAAAGAATCCCTGTCTGGACTAAGAAACCAGGAGTGAAAGTATATTCATGCTTCCCCTTCTTAACTTTGTTGCCTTTAAATGTGCTTTGCTTTTAGCACCTGTAGGATAGAGAGGAAAAAAAGCTGATTTCAAGACTAGTGATGCCTTGAAGTGGGTAATTACAGCTGCAATAATTCAAGTTTTATAGGCTTCTTTGATGAAAGAAACTTTTTGAATTCTAGAAAGTAATGTGTACCCTATGTGAGAAACCTAAATATAAAGAAAAGCACAATTTCATATCTCTATCATGAGCTGATTTTCTCAGCAGTTTCATGTCAGTACCAATACCAATTATGGACTGCTAGAATCTGTTCCTGCCCATCTATCCCTTATCACATGTTAGACAAAGTGATACTATCCCTTGTTATAAGAGGGGACAACAGCCATGCCTCACATAGGTGTGATTTCTGCTTTGTGCCTGGAATAACACCCGCAGAGGCACATACTCAGACATGGTATTGGTTAAGTAGGTTAAGTGTGACAGTAGAGGAGACATGAACAAGCCAGGAGTCTAGAGCTTGGTGAGAAACTGAGAGCTTGGCAAACCCAGGAAATGAATGTCTAAGGTGACAAGAACTCAGGACCTGTGAGAAGTAGGTAGATATAAAGATTCTTATAGGGGAAAAATAAAATCAGTCCATGCAGCAAATAGTGTCTGGGCATCACACTGGGTTTTGATCCAGAAAGGAGCTTCATGGTCTCCTAGGCTGGCACCATGCCAACTTGACAAGCTCAAGCTGAACTGAGTGAAAGATGGGAAATACCTGAATGGAACAGGTTCTGAGGTGCCTGCAGCATTTCAAACATTATCTCTTGAAAGTTTAATATTTCTGAAAACCTACTTCATTGGAGTTTTATTGTGGCATTATTGTAATAGGGAAAATGTAGAAACAACCTGTATATCCATTGAGGACTGATAATTATTTGTATGTATGAGGTTATTAAGTATAGAATGTCTGATTTCCTTAAGTACTAAGTTTGACAGTTGATATTCCTGACATTTCACTTTGACACTTATTTTGTGTGTGTGAGAAGGTATATCATTCTTTTAAACACACAATTTTTCTTTTCTTTTTTTTTTTTTGAGACAGAGTCTCATTCTCTTGCATGGACTAGAGTGCCGTGGCATCAGCCTAG